AGAAAATTCCTGGGTCCCTGATCCTGTTACATTCTATGAACTAACTAAGCAACTGAAAGTATCAATCCACATGGATCCAACCACTAAAGGAGCTTATGTTCTTTGAACCTCAAGTTCAAATGGCTCTCATGCCATACAGCTACCCAAGTCCCTTATCTTTGATTGTCTACGTGCCTGTAGACCCCACAGAAGAGCAGGGTGATCTTTCCAATGCTGATAGCAAACTCTTTGGATACTCAATGCCTTCATAGTTATCGCCACACTTCCGTGAGACCTATCCTTAGGAAAGAACTTGATAAACTCATTCACTTACAGGTGGTAGACACCAGTAAAAGCTGCGATTTCCACCCCCTTGGAAGATTTAAGCTGATGATTTCGTACCTTAGTGCTAGCTGTTAATTCCTAACTTGTGGTTGACTAACCCACACCTTCTTCTCTGGGCCCTGCATGTTTTGTATTTTTATCATGCTCTTTGGGGCTCCCAGTAGAGGGATAAAGAGATTTCTAGTTGCAGACAGATTCTTACTTTATGTGTTCTTGAGTTAAAGAGTTCTATTGTAAAGGATAACTTTACTAACAGAAAATTATTGGGCACCTACTGGGGCAAGGCAATGTTCTAGATGCTAACGGTGAAAAAGACAGATGAGGTTCCTGCATCCCTGGGTTTACATTCTAGATCAAGAAAATGGAAAATAAACAAGTTAACAAATAAGTGAAGAACATAATTTTCAAAGGCAAGAAGTGCTGGGTGATCTGAAGTAGAGTAACTTTAGGGGCCAAGTTAGATGTGTTCCTCAGGGAGAGCCTCTCTAAGGAGGTGCCATTTGAGCTAACTGAACAGGAAGGAGCCAGCTCTGGAATGTGAGGGAAGAGCGTTCCGTCTGAGAGAAGGGCCTGGGTAAAGCTCTGGAGTCAGAGGTGGACTTAGTGTGTTCAGAAACAAAGGCCTGTGGGGCTAGATGTGCATGTCCTTGAGAAGAACAATCTTAGGGGAGGGTTGGGGGCAGGCGGCAGACTGTGACGATGTCCTTAGTTCTCTGGAATTGTTTTATGATGAAGGGAAGCAGGTAAATGGGCTGGAAACTGGAGGGGGTCATCAAGTTCAAGGGAGGAATCTGTTGTGGTGATCTGGGTTGTGTGTGGGCTTTTTTTTTTTTTTTTTGAGATAGAGTTTCATTCTTGTTGCCCAGGCTGGAGTACAATGGTGCGATCTTGGCTCACCACAATTGCCGCCTTCCGGGTTCAAGTGATTCTCCTGCCTCAGCCTCCCGAGTAGCTGGGATTACGGGCATGCGTCACCACACCCGGCTAATTTTGTATTTTTAGTTGAGACGGGGTTTCACCATGTTGGTCAGGCTGGTCTCAAACTCCTGACCTCAAGTGATCCACCCGCCTCAGCATCCCAAAGTGCTGGGATTACAGGCATGAACGAGCGCAGCTGGCCAGGTGTTCTTATGGAAGCGGGGTGGATGTTGATAGGGATGATCAGCACACATTCCTATGTGAGAACTCCCAACCGTGACCCTCCTACGCTCTGCGGAAGGGCCAGGGAACTGATAAAGACCCCCACCTACTGCTCCTTCATCCCTGCATGCTGCCTATGCTGGCAGACACTCAGAGAAGACTCTCAACCCCCAATACGTGCTGACTGCACACCACCTTGAGCTGCAGTAGTTACTGGGATCGTCTTGGAGCCCCAGTCCTTCCAGCCTGCTCTCTGCCGAGACTTTCCCAGCTGAATCCCATTATGTCTACATGTCCTTACCAACCTGGTCAACCCCAGGAGTTCAAGCCACCCAGTCCCTTTCCCAGATCTCACCCAACACAGCTATGTACATCCTAACCTGGCTTAGGTTCTACCCACGTCTTCCAACCCTCTAAACCCTTCCACTTAGGCACACTGGAAATCAACACAGCTCCTACTGCTTCAGCAACTTCCCTGCATGCTTTTCTCCTCTTCTCATATAACTGAAGCCCATTTGCTCTGAGGACTTACCACCCTGTCAGGTGGAGGTTATTTTATCTCCCACATCTCCTAAACCAGTGGGTCTGGAGGTGAGATGGGGCTGTCTTATTCCCATTACTACTTCCAGACCAATCTCCTCTCTCCTTCAGGGTCCTTAGCTATTGAGGACCTAGACCTCAATCACTTCCTCTCCACGGTATAGACCGTCACAATCTGGGTGGCCTCCCAGTGTCTTAGCCCCCTTGACTCCCTCACTTATCTCAGCCTTCCTCTCCCATAGTCCTGCCCCCAGACCATGCCATTACCAGAAACTGCCCCACCTCTGGAATCTGGACAGCAGGCACCTCACTGTCTGAGCTCCTATCTTTCGAGCTCTCTTATTCTCCAAAAATGCTTTGTTCTTAGGGAGACCTGCAATCCATTCATTGACCCCACCACATTCTCCCACTGTCCTTCACCTTCCTCTTTCGTTATTACCCTTCTCACCAGCTTCGATTTCATGACTCACCATTATCATTAGTCACCCCTTGCCCACTTAAGTCCACCACCTCTCTCTCCCTTTATCGTACTTGCTTGGCAAAACCCCAGCAATGATTAAACCCAACCTCTGACTCACTCTATGCTTGCACCAGAGCCCACAAACATTGATGAAGAATGTCACACCACGGTGCTGCTCACTGCATGCGCGTTAAATTCATGACCACAGCACTGCCCAAGCATCCTAACAAAATGTCCTCATTCGCTCATTTCCCCACTCTTTACAATTTCCCCTTGGTCCTTAAATCTCCATTACTCCCCACCCAAACTTTTAGCTTGTTTCACACTTCATTAAGATAAAGCTAATAGAAACAATGGGTAGGAAACCAGGTGCAGTGGCTGACGTCTGTAATCCTAGCACTTTGGGAGGCCGAGGCGGGCGTATCACCCGAGGTCAGGAGTTCGAGACCAGCCTGGCCAACACGGTGAAGCCCCATCTCTACTAAAAATACAAAAATTAGCTGGGTATGGTGGCACATGCCTGAATCCCAGCTATTCGGGAGGCTGAGGCAGAAGAATTGCTTGAACCTGGGAAGCAGAGGTTGCAGTGAGCTGAGATGGTATCATTGCACTCCAGCCTGGGTGACAAGAGTGAGACTTAGTCTTTAAAAAAAAAAAAAAAAAAAAGGGTAGGAGGTAGAAATGCCATCCTTTTCCTGCCTGCATTTGTTCTCATTTTCTGCTTTACTGCTTGTTACAGTGGATGAAGTGTCCTCACTCGTAAAGACCCATTCCTTCATTTGTATTCTGGAACCTGTTGCCTGCTTCCTCCCGGTGGATTTCATTCCTGCCGTCCCCGCCTTGCCCCTCTAGCATTAGAATCATCAGTTTGTCATCTCTACTGGACCATTCAAACATTCCCTATAATCTCAAACAGGGATTAGCAAACTCTGTAAAGGGCCAGATAGCAAACATTTCAGGCTTGATGGGCCACACGGTCTCTGTCGATCGGCTTTGTGGTTGTAGCAGGAAAGCAGCTATGGATAATGTGTATAAATGAATGGCCATGGCTCTGATCCAATAAGACTTTATTTACAAAACAGGTAGCATGAGAATGAATTTGTTCCATGAGCCATAGTTTGCCTAATCAAGTATAGTATGTAGCCTGTTACTGGGTTAAACAACCATGTGCTCTGTCAATAAAATTATGATGGAGGCTGGGTGCGGTGGCTCACGCCTGTAATCCTAGCACTTTGGGAGGCCCACGTGGCAGACTGCTTGAGCCTAGGACTTTGAGACCAACCTGGGCAACATAGTGAGACCATGCCTCCACAGACAATAAAAAAAATTAGCCAGTCGTGGTGGCGTGTGCCTGTGGTCCCAGCTAGTCAGGAGGCTGAGGAGGGAGGATCACTTGAGCCCAGGAGGTCAAGACTTCAGTGAGCCAGATAGCTGGCAGGGAGGGAGGTGAGAATGTACAGGGTCCAGGGTGATTTTTGACCTTCAGACATCGATTGCAGAATCAATGTTCATTGATTATTGTGCTTTCATTGGGTCACAGCACAGACACGCACAAATCAGCCAGCTCTTCCCTGACTATGGTGGTGGCCTAGTCCATTTGGGCTGCTATAACAAATATGTTTTTATTTTCATGAATGTTTTGTGCATGTCCATAAGTTATTTTGGATATAAATGGCAAAATATAGGAGATAGCCGTGTCCTATTTTTATTATTGGCTGTTCAATTGGCTGTTTAATTTTTTCCATTATTTCTTTTAAAAAACACTTGAGCAGTTCTTTCCAAAATTGGTGGAGATTCTGCTGTCTCTCACGTGATGATCACAACACCTGGATTAGGGGTTGGACTCCAGATGAGATCTGTGACTGTTCGGTTCCCTGGGATAGGGTTGGTTTTGTGTGTGTGTGTGGTGTGTGTGAGAGAGAGAGAAAGTGTGTGTGTACATGTGCAGGGGTGCTCTGCAAGGGTCTCACCCAACAAATAAAACAGCCTTCATTTTTAGCCCGTAATTACAGTCTGCATGCAATAGTTAATGCAAGGTTGCCTTTAAAGACATTCTCATACACTCTAGACAGCTCTCTTTTACTTAGCCATTTCAGAGCACAGATTAGGAAAAGCTTCACTGAAGTCCCTTTGGTTGAATATGTTCTCTGCTTGGGGAAACCATGGCCACTATGAATAGAACCCTGTTTGCTGCCTCTTGTCACTCTCCAATAGTATCTCCAGGGCTAAGACACTATGGTAGAGAGTTGACATGTCTTCTCTTCTTCTGTGATGTCTCGACCTGCTGAGAACAATTGGTGCAGGTATCCCAGGGCCTGAGTTAATCCAGGATCCGTCTCATCTCTAGGTAGTTAACCTGGGGTCCTCTGCCCTCTGCCCTTGCAGGGGTAGTGAATGTCAACACTCTTTCTGCCCTACCATGCCTGGCCACTGGGAGTATAACTGATTTCTTTTCTTTATCATATCCCTTCTGGAATAACTAAAAGATTTCAAAAAGAACTCAAAACTGAGACACAATAAACACACACACAAATTGTGGCATTTACAATTTTAGATTATTAGATTGTTGAGTCTCTGTGTGACCAAAGACCTGTACAGAGGGCTTTGGAGGGGTCACAGTAGGCCAGGAGTCAGAGCGGACGGTTTCTCAACCCAAGAGACAGGAGGTCAAACCTAAAAGAGAAGAAAAGCCAAGGATGATGTTAGAAAAAAAGAACAAAAACAGAAGGGAGCCTGGGAGGGGCCCAAACTAAGGTGTCTTGAAGGAGATATCAAAATTAGAGCTTGAGTGGGGCTTAAAGAGCCAGAAGTAAAACCAACGCATCTCAATCTGTAGCATCTTGTGAAAGGTAAACCTGGCTGGCACAGTTTTGGGGAGTACAATGCTTTTCTTTGGCTTCAGGAGACCCCCTTTCCCAACTCCTTTGACCTTCAAACATCGATTGCAGAATCAATGTTCATTGATTATTGTGCTTTCATTGGGACACAGCACAGACACGCACAAATCAGCCAGCTCTTCCCTGACTATGGTGGTGGCCTAGTCCCTTTGGGCTGCTGTAACAAAACACCTTAAACTGGGTGGCTCATAAACAACAGCAATGTGTATCCCACAGTTCCGGATACCGAAAAGTCTGAGATCAAGGAACCAGCAGGATCAGTGTCTGGTGAGAGCCCATTTCCTGGTTCACAGATGGTGCTTCACATGATGGAGGGGGCAAGGCAGCCTCTTTTATGAGGTTCCCCCTCCATGACCTAATAAAGTCCCAAAGTCCCCACCTTCTTACACCATCACATTTGTGATTAAGTTTCAACATATTAATTTGGGGAAGACACAAATATTCAGAACATAGCTGGTGGGCAAAGCCGAATCCCCCTTGGGGCATGGACCAGGGGATTGAGAACATTTGGAAAGGGAGAACTGGAGTGAACAAGTCATGTTGAAGGGTGAGTGAGTGCCCATAAGCCACCATCCTGTGAGTAGCATGGCAGTGGACAGGCATACAGGAAGAAACTGGCAGGTCTTTCCAGTGGTGATGTGAAACTCAAAGCCATTGGAAAGATGGCCATGTGTTCTGAAAATGAATCACCAGGGAGAAAGGAGACTCTTCCACCCAGACATATGAGATACCTCTCACCTTCCCAATTATGGCCAATATTTGGGAGTCAGGATTTATGATTCAGAGTCAGTTCCCCCCTCCACTGCCCCCCGCGGGGGAGAAGTCATGGTGATTTTGAACCTTGGAGGAAAAGAATAAAGCCATTACGGAGAAAGCTGGGTGTATGAGTAGATTATAGGCCTGCATGGTGGCCTGGTCACAGATTGCTCATACCTCATAAGCAATCTGAGTAGGAAAGGAAGGAGCAAAAATGGAATGATGATGATGATGATGATGATGATAATAATAATAAAGAATTAGCTGATATCAGATGTTTTCTCCTTGGTTTCTGCTTGCCCAGGTCTGACTGGTGCAGCTTATAATTAGTCTCTGCTTGCAGATGTGTGGTTCCAAAGACTTGTGGATTAAAGAGAAACTCTAGAATTTCTCAGTACCTGACAAGTTGTAACGTGAAAAGCTACACTTAGTCCATTAAAGATTTTTCACAGTGACATTTGAGTGCAGCTTGAGAAATATGCCACCTTGCCATTTATCATTTTCAGGGCATGGGTGTCGGAAAGGAGTTTGCTATGAAGAACAAAACAAAATGGATTGCATGTGTAGAGAGGTGAGCTGGCGAATACTGATAAATGTACTTCACTGAATGTCAGCAAATGTCACTTGAGAAGCCATTTGCAGCTACCGTAACAGCCTCCCAAACCCAACAAAGAGTAGCAAAAACGGGCAAAATGAACTGGGCGTCTTGCTTCCGCATGAATAAGCAATCAGCCCTCTCAGAAGTTACACCAGAAAGTTGTTAAACTTGATAGAAGCAGCTTTTTCAACCATACTGACGCATACTATAGATTGCTACAGAGGGCTGGAGACCTTCTGAGGACGTCAGCGCTGTGACTCTGGGCAGAACTTCATAACCCCTTGTCTTCCAGGTAGGTGCCTTCCTTTTGTATGTGCAGCCACTGGCTGTCTCTGAGACATATTTTCTGGGTTTTCCTACACCAGCTTGCTGCTTTCGCTGTGTCTGCAGACCCCTCTACTCCCTATCTACTCCTAATCTACCCTCCCTTGCAGTGTAATCTGGGAGTGGCTGCAGATGTGACCTGGGATGCAGTCCTCACGTGCCATATCAAGAGAAGACCCAACAGAAACACCCTTGAGCCAAAATTTCAGTCTCTCACTCAAGAAAATAATTTTCAATGTGTCTCCTGGTTAATGTGAAAATTGGAGTAATAGACTCAGCTTCTGGTTCATTCTTGGTGACCTGGCTGAAACTTTCCCTCTATGTGATTTAGGATTTCTGGAAGGTGGGGGCCAGTGTTCTTCAGAATTCAGCTTGGGTTGAGATGTTCCCCTCTTCCTCCTCAGCTTGGTGAGTCTCCAGACTTTGCTGCAGAAAAGTAAATGGGAAAGAAGATCATATTCTCAGAAAAGCTCTCCAGGGAATGTGAGACTAATTAAAATAAAATTCCAGCTCCTCTTCATTTTCTAATCTCTGGGAGCTCCTCCTCCTCTTTAACACATACGAGGTCATCCAATACTTTTTTCCTCCATTATACCAAGACACTTTAACAGAGTAGCCTGAATTTGTCTGGCCTTGTGAAATATACCACACGCACGCACGCACGCACACTGCCCACACAAACTGAGGTCAGTTCAGCTTTCATTGGCGCAATGCTGTGGTACAGGACTCAGATACAAGAAGCTCTTTGTTGAATGTACATCTCAGACTGTGTCCCTGAATGTGCTAATGGACACACTTCCCTCTTCACACTGTTCTGCCATATGTTTAGCCTGTGTACATTGGAAATGAACACATTTACAACCAGGAAAAGATGGGCTCTTGGGAAAGTGAGCTTCCCTCAGATGAACTCGGAGGGGTGGTGCAGGAAGGAGGGGTTGGAAGCTAGCTCCTCTTCAGTCAGACTCCTTGCAGAGTTCTTAATTCTTGGTGTTTCCTCCTTTCGAATTAGGTGCTTCCCATGGAAGGGCCTTTACTTGGGTCTCAGGAACTCACAAGCCATCTGCTTATTATTGAAATTGAATTACCCTCAACTTGTTGACTTTCACATCAACAAGTTTAGTTTAGGAAGAAACAGTGGCATGTTTAGGAGAGAAAAAAGGAGAAGAAGATGAAAGTCAGATCTCTGGATCAGCGGTGGAGGTGAGGGAAAAGTGGAAGAGATCCTCCAGGGAGAATGAGATGTGCAATGTTCTGCTTGAGGCAGGACCCATAATAGAGCCTGGCAACACTTTACTCAGTTAAGGCACTTTCTGAAGAGCAAATCTCTGCTGTGTCCCAGTGTGGATTGCATGTCCCAGACCCAAAAAGCTATTAAAGCATAAAAACATGTTCTAAAGAACAGACAATATGGGTACAGATTTCTCATTGTGCCAGTATTCTTTATTTTCTTAGTTGCTGTAATTTTAAAATTTGTGTCTTAAAGCTCAAGCTAATAAGCATCTGTTCCCTGGTGTGAAAAGAAACTGTTCATAATTGATTAATATCACACGAATCCTGTAATTGCTGGAGGCTAGAGCTATGTAAAATCCTACCTTCCTATTGTTTTGTCTTTAAAGAACAAAAACAAAAACCTTGTCGTATAGACAAGGGTAGCCAATATTGTCTCTGTCTTTCAGTGAGAAAAAGCAAAGCTGGTTTGGGTGAGGTACTTTACGCACTAATTAGTGGCAGTAGCAGGTTTCCTTGTTTTTAATCCAGAAGCTGTTTACAGTGGATTCTTCTCTGCTCTATTTAAAAACCTAACAAGCCCCCTTTAACCATTTTGCATTGTGGGATGTTTCAAACAAAATGTTAAATTGCTACCACAAGAGGAAGATTTGTTAAAATACAAAACTCCTTAGAATTGCAGTAATCCCCTCATTCTTGCAAGAATGTAAACAGGACATCAGTTCAGGGAACATTTGCCCATGGAAAAGTCTCCTCTGAGCAAGAAACGTCACCCACTGCATGGTAGCAATGGGCATCATTTAATCGGCTCTAGACATTCCCATCTCAAACTGAGCTCCCCTGTCCTTGAAAGAGTGGAAAGATACATTAAAGTGGGAGATTAATAAGCAAATTTCAGGTTAACGCTGCAGGCAGGCCATCCTAAGGAGAAATGTTTAGAGGAATTTATGATCAGACTTCCACGTAACATATTCATTCAAGTAGGCACTTTTAAATGCCTACCTTATGTCAGACCTGACATAATATCTTACCTGGATAGCAAGTTTGTTTAGAAGTCATACTCTTTGCCATCTAGAATCACACTCTCTATGCTCAGCTCAAACCCCATCTCTTCCAGGAAGCCTTCTAAGATTTCTCCCATGGTTGTGCGCCCAACCAGGACACCCATAAAACAGCATTGTTCTGTGCTGTCCTGAACGGGGTACATCTTTCTCCCCAACAAGTGTTAGTTCCTTGAAAAAAGGGTCTCTATCTTATCTCTGCATCACTGAGATAGTCTTTCCTAATCTCCTCTTTAAAATGAGATTTAAGGCACTGAAAACTGGGTTAGCTCTCACTCACACTGAGATCTAAACCACTTTGGTGTGAATACATGGGAAGCAGCCTTCTCCTCCTTGGCTACTAATAGTGTCTGGATTCAGTATTCAATGAAGGTCGTACCAACGATGTAGGTTGGGAAGGAAGTGGATGGGTCCATCTGGATAATCTGGGTGCCATGCAGGAAACATCAGACTGGTTAATTTGGAGGAATAGGAGCTGAATTATCCAAACAATTGTGTAGATGCAGCCTTTGCTGGCAAAGCCATTTTCCCCACCTCTGTATCAAATATGCTTTAGAGATTTGGGAGTTGACACCGCATCCAGATATAGTGGGAGAGAAATGGAGAACATTCACATTTTGCTCTACAGTTGCCAGCCTTGAGGCATCCAAGCTTATTTCCTACTAAAGTAACTTATACTATTTCCCAGTGGGAAGAGTTTGGTGTAGGAATCATTACATCTTCCCTCTCTTGTTTCTGCCCAGGTAGTCACAGGGGAAAGAATACCTAGCCTCGCCAACCCCACACAGCCAATTTTGCTATTGAAATCTAAGATTTTGCATGAGATCTGCACATGTTAATGACTTGTGATGAAGAGATTTTCATTTTTAAATCAGGGATTCAGAAATTCCCTTCCTTCCTTGTGATGCCAATTATTTTCATGTGGGCCTTTCAGGGAAGAATCTTTAAAAGTCTCCATCTTTTGGCCGGGCGCGGTGGCTCAAGCCTGTAATCCCAGCACTTTGGGAGGCCGAGACGGGCGGATCACCAGGTCAGGAGATCGAGACCATCCTGGCTAACACAGTGAAACCCCGTCTCTACTAAAAATACAAAAACTTAGCCGGGCGAGGTGGCAGGCGCCTGTAGTCCCAGCTACTCGGGAGGCTGAGGCAGGAGAATGGCGTGAACCTGGGAGGCGGAGCTTGCAGTGAGCTGAGATCCGGCCACTGCACTCCAGCGTGGGTGACAGAGCGAGACTCCGTCTCAAAAAAAAAAAGTTTCAATCTTTTAATGCAAAGAGTCCCCCAAGCAGGCAGAATACATCCTGTCAGAGCCAAATGTCAGTCCAGAAGAACCTGTGCTTTGAGTCACTTGGCAAATGCAGAGTTTAACAAGCTCTATTTTTTCCCTTAAAAATACACAAAACTCACTTAACATAATTCATAGTAACCCTTTCTTATTTCAAATATTTCATTTCAGTTCCTTAAATTGTTGCCCTGCCCAATTAGGGGGGGAAAATCTGCTTTCATTTTAAGAAGCAAAATATAAAGTTTCTAAAAGTAAGGATAGCTGAAAAGTCTTTTCCCCTCTTAAATTGATATTCAGAAAAAATAAATTTCTGTATTTATTTACTTCTGATGTGAGAGCAGCAATGCCACCTTTGTTCAAATAAAGTTTTTGAAATGATACAAATCTCTATGTGCATGTTTCTAGAATTAATACCCATCTGTTCACTGTAGCGGTGGGATTTTCTACTAGGGGAATCCGCATTGGGAGAAGTATCCCCGCCTTGGGAGCATTTAAGGAAATTTTAATATCCAAACAAAAGCAGTATTACCATCACTACCCACTCCCTCCCTTCGAGGAAAAACAATTAATAATTTGCATATGCTCATGACACAAATTAAAGACAAAGGGCCCCTCACAGGCTGTGGGCACTACACAGCACTCCGCAGGCTGCAGAGTCCCAG